GAGAGAGAGAGAACATGCGGGGTTGGGGGAGGAGCAGAGGGAGAGGGAGAAGCAGACTCCCCGCTGAGCAGGGAGTGCCATGCAGGGCTCGATCCCAGGACCCTGGGATCATGGCCTGACACCTAACGGACTGAGCCACCCAGGCGCCTGTATATGTATGTGTGTTTTAACCAGGCTTGTACTGTACATAGTGTATGCCATACTTCCTCTCATTTGACAAAATATGGGGAATCTTTGGCCGCCAAACATTTTCTCCAGCACTATTCAATTGCAAGGTTGTGCTCATCTTGCCCTGGGTGGACAAACCATTATTCATTTAACCAACCCTCTATTGTTAGACATAGAGGCTCTTCCTTTTTTTTTTTCCTATTTATTATTAAAAATGAAGTCTGAATGTTCCCACATTCTTATCGTTTTCTGAAATTACAGGAAATGACTGGCACAAGCCATACCTTCATTCCCCCAAAGCACAGCTCAAATTTGGCTGTTTGGTCAAACAAACTTTACCAAAGACTCAAAGCTGATAGAAAGAAAACATTTACAACACAGAAAATAAAAACTTAAACGCAGATTGCAGGATATTTTTTTTTTTAAAGATTTTATTTATTTGACAGAGAGAGCACAAGCAGAGGGAGAGAGAGAGAGAAGCAGGCTCCCTGCTGAGCAAGGAGCCCGATGTGGGACTCGATCCCAGGACCCTGGGATCATGACCCGGGCCGAAGGCAGATGCTTAACCCACTGAGCCACCCAGGCATCCCCAGATTGCAGGATATCACATCCTACTACATCCAGAAGCCATAGGCTTCTCGATGCCTCTAGAGGCTGCTTAGGATCCAGTTCTCCTGCATAGTCCTCAGCCTCCTGCTGTGTGGCCGGGGCCAGACAAACCCTTCCCAGGGACACAGATCTCTGATTATGTCCACCTTAACGGGAGTCCAGGCCCCTTCAACCTCCCTGAGGCCCAGCAAGAAGGAGAAAATCATTTCCTAAATACCCATCCCAATGAACTTCACGTTAATCCCTACAGATACAGCTCTAGATGGCAGAGTAACCACTCAGGTGAGCAGTGTGAATTCTCATTGTCCCAAACCAAAAACCCATTCATGAATTTTGCCCCCATTGCTAGCACAGCAGAGTCACTGAAGTTTGAGATCTGTTTTCTTTTCCAAACCTTTTGGAGGTCCCGGGCCCCAGAGGCTCAAGATAAGAATACCTGGGCTTCTCACTTCCAGCAGCCTCTCTAGAAGGAAAGCTATCCCCAAAGCTGTCATCCCACACGGGGAACCTGCTTTGCCATGAGGCACAAGGAGGAGCAGCAAACATCCTATATCTCCTGCCAGAACAAAGCCAGGGAGTCGCAGCTTTTCCTTTGCTAACAAGGAACATTCTGGAACATATTTTCTGTGCCCCTGTCTGTTCCAGATATTTTCCTCAGGATAAATTCCTGACAAAATCACGGGGACAAAAGTCACAGGCATCTTGCAGGTTTTTGAAACACAATGTCAAATTTTTGCCCTTTTTTTTTTTTGCCTCTGAGCTTCCTGATAAAGCACTGAAGAAGTCTTGGGTTGAACCAGCCACCAGGCCAGATAAACAAGCTGGCCTGTCACTGTTCCTGTTTTCAGCAACTGGGGAGGGAACTCCCTTGGATCCTGCCCAGGACTTGGAATTCCGAAGCACACAGACCAGACACCTTTGCACCTGGCTCCCCTGCTCAGGCCCCACCCTCCCCTCCTTTCCCCGCCCCTGAGGCCTGGCCAAGCGGGTGGTGCGGAGGCGGCAAAGAGGCCCAGCGCTCCATCCGTGCTCAGCCCAGAGCCGAAGCCAAAAGAGGGCCCTGAGCCCGGCTCCATGAGGACGCTACTGACCATCCTGGCCGCGGGATCCCTGGCAGGTGAGTGCCCATTGCCCTGTGGTCACACTCCCCACCCCCACGCCCGGGAGGGTTGATCAGGGTTCCACACACCCGCGTGCGCGCGCGCGCGCGCGCACACACACACACACACACACACACATGCAGCCCCAGGACGGCCAGTTTCAGTTTCTCCTCCACCAGGGCTGCCCTGGGTGACAAGTTTCCTTGGAGAATTGGGGAATACATCAGGGTATCGGGGAGCATGCAAGGGTCCCTCAGACCTGGCTTCTTCTGGAGACTCAGCTAACCTCAAGACTCGGGGATGCAGCCAGCTGTCTGAACTGGGGTACCAGATGCCCTCACCTCAGTGGGTGGAGAATTGGCTTGCGGGAGGCAGACATCCTTGGACCCCTCGAATAGTTCTGATAGTTGTACCATCCCTTCCTCTGCTTCTGGCCGGCACTGGCCCAACAAGGGGAGTGGGGAGAAGGACAGACGGACAAACCTTGAGTGCGGCCATTGTTTCTCTCCACGACCCGAAGGGGGCCTCTTCTGACCCCTCACACTAGATCTAAAAGAGCGTTAATTGGGGCGCCTGGGTGGCTCGGTCGGTTAAGAGTCTGCCTTTGGCTCAGGTCATGATTCCAGGGTCCTGGGATCGAGCCCCGCATAGGGCACCCTGCTCAGTGGGGAGTCTGCTTCTCCCATTCCTTCTGCTGCTCCCCCTGCTTGTGTCGCTCTCACTCTCTCTCTCTCTCTCAAATAATAAATAAAATCTTTAAAAATAAATAAATAAACGAGCATTAACTCTAGGAAACAAACTGAGGGTTGCTTGGCGGGAAGGTGGGTGGGGGATGGGGTAACTGGGTGATGGACATTAAGGAGGGCACTTGAAGTAATGAGCACTGGGTGTTATATGCAACGGCTGAATCACTAAATTCTGCCTCTGAAATTAATAATATAGTATATGTTAATTAAATCTAATTGAAATTAAAAAATTTTTAAAAATAACAGAGCATTTTCTGCCAGAAGGGCCAGGTCTGCTGCATTAAAAGATCTTAAAACATCAGGGCCCTTTTGAAAACAGGACTAAAGGGCATAGCTTCCAAATCCAATAAAGTAGATTTCTTGATTTATAATTATAGAGAACTTTCAGGCAGATATGTGAGATCCCAGATTGGCTCTCTGCTCCCGAGACGTTTCATAAAATTCAGGGAACTTTCGCAGGAAGTGAACGCATAGTCCAGACTGAAGAGCGGGGAGGGATAGCCTCTGCAAGGGCCCTTCTAGCTCAAGTGCAGGATGAAGCCCATAAAGGGCTGAGGCTTCCCAGCCCCGTCTGCTGCTGTCCCCTGTGTCAGCTGGTGGGATCCACAGTGTTTCCAGCTGCTTCCTGGGCCCTTCCAGTCTGTTCAACTCCGGTATCAAGCTGGGCATTCCCATCGCACTGGGCCCTTGATGAGTGAGGAAGACTCACCGCATCCCCCAAAGACTCCATTCTGGTTGGAAGTCTTAGAGGCTCTTGACCCTCACAGATGGGGACCAAGGGGAAACAACCTTAGGAGTTGTTAAGAGCCGAGAAGGTTTTCTGGACCCCAGGTCTCCTCTGCCCCAGCATTCTTAGGCTGATTCTAGAATATTTTGGATTATTTTTGTTTGTTTCCCAACTTGTTGACATAAAATTGTTTTTTTCAAGCAAATATGAAAACTTTCTTTCATAGAGGCTACCAGTCTGTCAGTTTCTAGACAACACATGTGTCCCCAGGATTTCACAATGTAGACTTTCACCCAGGAAGTGCAGAAACAAAGCAGGCTGAGTAATACGTGATAGCTTTAAGGGGGGAAAGGAATGAGCAGGGCAGGAGAGGGAGAGATTTTTTTTTTTTAAGATTTTATTTATTTATTAGAGAGAGAGAGCTCAAGCGCAGGGGGTAGGGGGCAGAGGGAGAAAGAGAATCCCAAGCAGATTCTGTACTGAGCACAGAGCCCGAGGTAGGGCTTGATCCCAGGACCCTGAGATCATGAACTGAGCCAAAATCAAGAGTCAGATCCTTAACCGACTGAGCCACCCAGGCATCCTAAGGGAGAGATCTTGTTAGCCCTCAATGCCCCCTAAAAGAAGACTCTATCCAAGGTCCACCCACTTCATTTCTGGAAGCCAACTTCAGTTCCCTCCTGGAAAACGGTGCCAACCTTCTCCCAGCCTGGGCCCCTTACCTCCCGAGCATGTCTCAGCCCCAGCCACCAGGCTCTCCCATCACAACTAGCCCACCAGGATACTGACCCCAACCAGCAACCTTCTCAATGCCGCCCCTAACCCACCACTTAGCGGTAGTTAAGCCCAGCCCCAGATAGACCCTGGCCTTCTCTCAAATCCCACCCTCCCTCTCTCCTGCCCTAACTTTATCACCCCACCAGAAGCTACCATTCAGTTCTGACTTCAGGTGTACTCCCTCCCTCATCTTAAGACCCAGCCCTGAATCCAGGACCACTCCCTCCAGATCAGACCCCAATTCTGCCCAGACTCAAATCCAAACAAGATGTCGGCCACACCCCAGGGCTCAGTAGCATAGCCATCACATTGGCTAGAGGCAGTAAGACACGCCCCCTCTAACCCCCAAGTTCCCCAGGTCCTGTTCTGGGAGCTCCAGGAAGCCTGGAACACAAACATTTCTATAGCTGTTGAGACTGACCAACTCAGATTCAAAGAGGAATGTGGCCTTAGGTTTAACCAGTGGATGCACAGCAGGGTCGGGCTATCCAGATATTCTTCCCCATCCCCACAGGTGCCTCCTAAGCCCATGGACCCCTCTTGCAGAAATATTGTATGTGGACTTGGAGTGGGGAATAAATAACTGTCCACTTCCTTACACCTTGGGCCTGTTGGTGGTCATGGCCATGTCCGGGGTGGAGCGAGGCACACACACATCAAAGACATGTGCACACAAGGCCCCAAGGCCTTGACGCAACTGGGTCCGCGCACCTGCTTATTTCCAACCCCAGCCAACCAGGCCCTTCTGAGCATGCTCAGAGCCAGCTGCCGGCTCTGGCCGCCATTTTCCTGCAACCCCTCTTCCTTTCCACAGACCAAGCTGGGAGGGCTGAGAGAAGAGTTTTTAAGTAAAGGCTCCATTTGTAGTTCAAGATTGCTTCGGGGAGAGTGGCCCCTCCCTGGTCCTCTTCTTGGGGCTTTGGTCTTTGCTGCCCCCTCCCCGCCCTATGGTATTCCCCCACGACCAGTCTAGCACCAAGATGAGTACTGCAGGCTCTGTCTCATACTAACCGAGACACTGGGCAGGTAAACCTCTCTGAGCCTCTGCTTCTCTTATCCCTAAAATGGGGGTAATGATAGTAACTGCCTCCTCGGGTGTCAGGAGGGTTTAGTGAAGAGACTTAGCCCAGTGCCTGGCACTTGAAACACATTTCACAGGTGTCGGCGGCCACTCTTGTCATTAGTCTTTGCCTTTAGGTAAGTCAAATCATCCCCACCTTGGAGATGAAGAAAACAGGTTTCCCAGGGTCGCCCTGCCCGTATGTGGCCTCCGTCAGCACCTCCTGCCCCGGGCAAGTCTGTGCTCTGCCTTCCTCCCGGTGCCAGGCGGGCAGGGACTGGTTCAGCCAACAAAGGGGCGGGAGCTCCCAAACGTCCTCTCCAGCCCTGTCTGGAATTATTGACTCTGGGAAAGTTATTCTTTGATGTTTTAGTTGAACAGCCAACGTGTAGTTGAGCGTCCTTCCAATATCCCGTGGGTGAGGACGCCCACTTCAGGTATGTCCAGAAGTGAAGGAGAGATGGTCACAAGTGTCGTCAGGGGCGTGGAATAAAGGCAGCACCCACACGCTGCCGTGGGGACGCAGGATGTATTTACATGAAAAGTCCAGAATAGGAAGATCCAGAGAGCCAGAAAGCAGCTTAGTGGTTGCTTTCAGGCTGGGAGAAGGAAGGAAGGGAGAGGGACTCTTAACAGACACAGGGTTCCTTTTTAGGATGATGACAACGCTCTGGAATTAGAGAGTGGTAATGGTTTCACAACTTTGTGAATATACTCAGAAACCCCCGATTTGCATGCATTAAAATGGTGAATTTTGGGCACCTGGGTGGCTCAGTTGGTTAAGCGACTGCCTTCAGCTCAGGTCATGATCCTGGAGTCCCGGGATCGAGTCCCGCATCGGGCTCCCTGCTCAGCAGGGAGTCTGCTTCTCCCTCTGACCCTCCCCCCTCTCATGCTCTCTCTATCTCATTGTCTCTCTCAAATAAATAAATAAAATCTTTAAAAAAAATGGTGAATTTTACAGGCTGCGAATTATAGCTCAATAACAAATTTAAAAAGAAGCGAAGGGGGACAGGGATAGTTGCAGTCTCTGGTGAGTGGGTGCTGGTACTGCCCTCCTCATTGGACGGCTCGTTGGTGGGCTGGGGGCAGGATCCTCGTGCCCATCTGCTCACCCTGCTCCCACTTCCCACAGCTCACATTGCTGAGGACACCTCGGATCTTCTTCAGCACGTAAAATTCCAGTCCAGCAACTTCGAAAACATCCTGACTTGGGACAGCGGGCTGGACAGCGCCCCAGACATTGTCTACAGCGTCGAGTATAAAAAGTAGGCTTCCCCCCACATGACCTTTTCGGACTCTGCTCTGAAACCAGCCCTTCCAAGAAAACCCCCCTCTATCATATGTCCCCACGCCCCGCCCCACCCCCCACCCCCTGTCTGAGGTGACAGAGCCTACACCACTCCTGCCAGACAGAGCTTTGCTCCTTTGTGGTTTCTTTTGCAAAGGGAGGATAAAATAATGGTTAAAGGTGCAAACTCTGGAGTCAGACTGCCCAGGCTTACCTGCCATCTCTGGCCTTTATAACATGGGGCAATGGGGTAATCTCGCCAAGCCTCAGTTTCCCCACCCATAAAGTAAGGACAGCAAGAGTACCTCCATCATAGGACTGTTAGGTAGATTAAGCAAGACAGTCACGAGTGCTTGTGCCTGGCAGGTAATAAAATCGTTTTATTATTATCGGGGAGACTAGGTCAACAAAGAGTCGTGCCCACCCCCTCAAGCCCCTGCCCCTATTCCTGCCCGTCTCTCTTCCTACGCAGAGGAAGAGGTTGGCATGGGCTGAGGGGTCTGCAAACCTGGGTTCCATCGCTGGTCCTGCCACTTCATCCCATGGCAAGTCACTTCCCCTCTCTGAGCCTCAGTTCCCTCATCTGTAAAATAGGTGTAACAGTGCCTGCCTCAAAGTCTTATGGTAACGATGGGCCCAGAATGTGAACTCAGACTGGCTAGGTTCAAGTCCCGGCTCCCCAAATGCATGCTCCAAACACCTGCCCAAATTTTACCTCTTTAAGCCTCAGCTTCCTTATTCGAAAAGGAAGGAGAACCATGTCTGAACCTCACGGGATCATTGTGAGGACTAACAGATCAGCCACATAAGGGGCCTGGGACACAGAATATGCTAAGTAAATATTAGATATCGTGGGGCGCCTGGGTGGCTCAGTTGGTTAAGCGACTGCCTTCGGCTCAGGTCATGATTCTGGAGTCCCGGGATCGAGTCCCACATCAGGCTCCCTGCTCGGCGGGGAGTCTGCTTCTCCCTCTGACCCTCCCCCCCTCATGCTCTCTCTCTCATTCTCTCTCTCTCTCTCAAATAAATAAATAAAATCTTTAAAAATAAAAATAAAAAAAATATTAGATATCGTTATCATTATTAATAAACCACAGGCCCAGTGCCAGGCTCAATCATTCAAGGTGTGCTCTGGCCCCTCCCATGCCTACAGGTACGGAGAGAGAGAGTGGCTGGCGAAGGAGGGCTGCCAGCGGATCACCCGGAAATCCTGCAACCTGACCATGGAGACGGGCAACTTCATGGAGTTCTATTACGCCCGTGTAACTGCCCTCAGCGCAGGAGGCCGGTCAGCCACCAAGATGACCGACCGGTTCAGCTCACTGCAACACAGTGAGTGGGCGCCCCTCACTGCAGGGGAGGGGCGGGGGGAGGCCCGGAAGGGCAGGGGGCAGTTCGAGATGAGGCTTTCAGGGAAGGTCGCCCCCACTAGAGAGCATCCTGTGCGCAGCTGGTCTTTCTCCAGTTCCATCCCGGCCTCCCGAGGTCAGTTCACCTTCCTCTGGCCTCTCGACTCCAGCCAAGGGCTCCTAACTCAGTGCCCTACTCCAGCCCTGACTCTTTTCCAATCCTCAGTCTTGGTCTGGGCTTCCACATCACCTCCTAAGGGGGAGTCCCCGCTCTCGGCCCCAGCGACCTCATTTCACGATGTCACCATCTGCTACTCTCTGTCACGGTCAACTGTTCATTGTCTTCGTAGCTCCTATCACCATCCACAGTGAGGGCATCTGCCGGCCTGTATCCCACCTGCCTCCGGGCGGGGGCGTGGAATCCCGCATTCTCAGTCCCTCGCGTAGGGCCTGGCATGGAGGAGATGCCCACTACGTAATTGATGAATGAATGAATATGAGTTGCCAAACTCCCCACACAAGCTGAGTAGGTGGTGATGTTCACCAATGGACTTCACAGCCACGTGGTTTTCTAAGAAAAGAAAAAATAAAATTAAATGAGTTATTTTTTTCTTGGCTTATTCAATTAATACATGTCTGGAAAATATAGAAATGCACAAAGAAAAATAAAAGAAGTCCAAAATAACCTGAACACTTAAACATAATCATGGTTACTAGCAACTGTCTCTACTCTTTTGTGACCTGGTTGGCTGGTTGCTTTTCATATAATGCCCTCAGGAACATTTGCCCACATCATTAAGTACTTTTCCACAGCATGACATTTCACGGCTGCAAAATGATCTGTTCTATGGAGGTAGTCTTTTTTTTTTTTTTTTTTTAAAGATTTTTATTTATTTATTTGAGAGAGAGAATGAGAGAGAGCACATGAGAGGGGGGGAGGGGCAGAGGGAGAAGCAGACTCCCTGCCGAGCAGGGAGCCCGATGCGGGACTCGATCCAGGGACTCCAGGATCATGACCTGAGCCGAAGGCAGTCGCTTAACCAACTGAGCCACCCAGGCGCCCTGGAGGTAGTCTTAATTTACTTCCCCAATTCCCTTTTTGAGGACTTTTAACTCAGTTTTTCAATTTTATAAACAAAACCGAAGTGAACATTCTTCTAGCTCCGATGTTTTCAATTCGGAGGTCAGTGGACCCTTGAGGGATTTTTATAAACTTGCTTCAGGGGGAGTAGGGCTCATGAATCCCCGAAATTGAGTGCAAAATTTTTGTATATGTACATTTTGGGGGAGAGAAGATCCGTAGCATTCATCAAATTCCTAAAAGGGTCTGTAAACCAGTAAAGGTTATTTGGTTATTCAGAAAATCACATCTGGAGAGAGATTGAAGTCTCAGACCTGGCCTTTGAGGCCATATCAATAATTTGAGGCACCTCGAACATTACTTAGTTTATATAGCTGAACCCTCAGTCTCCAAAGCTGTCACTGCCAATAGACCAAGGAAAAGGGAGCTCTGGGCAGACTCAAGGTGGGGATTGTGGAGGCAGGGACAAGGGCACCGTTAATCTAGGAGGCCAGTGCCCCTCTCCCTGGGTTCTGCCCACTCACCCTTGGGCACCCCTGTGCCAGCCTTAAACCCAAACACCGGTTGCTTGAAGCACTTTTCTCTTTTCACCTGTTTGTTTAGCTGTTGTTTTCAGAAGCATAGCTGGGGTTGGGTGGGAGGAGAGGGGAGGCAGTCAGTCATGTCCCCTGGTCCGGGGCAACCTCAAACACTGCTGGCTGATTCTAGTCTTTTCTTTTTGCTTTTCTCTCTCCCTTTCCCAGCTACCATCAAACCACCTGATGTGACCTGTATCCCCAAGGTGAGATCCATCCAGATGATCGTCCATCCCACCTCCACGCCTATCCGCGCAGGGGATGGCCACCGGCTTAGCCTGGAGGATGTCTTCTCTGACCTATTCTACCGCTTAGAGCTCCAGGTCAACCACACCTACCAAATGGTAAATATATGTGCCTCCCTGGTCCTTCCCTGCCTGGGAAACTCATTTCCCTGTCGATTAGATCTGCATTGCTTCAAGTAGAAAGGAGATGTTTTATGTAAATTAGCATTTTCCAAAACACAGCCCTCCCTCTTGTAGATCACACAGACAAGAGCCTGCTAAAGTCTCTGACAAGTCCTGCAAAGCCAAGACTCCAGTTTCAATTTATTGAATACGACTTCTCTCAAATTTCTTGACCAGAGAGACTCCTTTTATTTTGCATAATTTTTTTTAAAGATTTCATTTATTTGACAGAGACAGAGATAGCAAGGGCAGGAATACAAGCAGGGGGCGTGGGAGAGGGAGAAGCAGGCTTCCCGCCGAGCAGGGAGCCCGATGCGGGGCTCCATCCCAGGACCCTGGGATCATGACCCGAGCCGAAGGCAGACGCTTAACGACTGAGCCACCCAGGCGCCCCATTATTTTGCATAATTTTTTAACTTTTTTTTTTTTTGCCTAATACCTTATAATACCCTGGAGAGCAACTTCTACTAACATCTTCAGATGTCCACTTTGGAAAATGCTGAAATCTATTTCTACTGCTACAGTTCTTTTTGCTGGGTCTTCACCATTGGCAGGAACTGGATACAGGCAGTCTTAAGATCACTAACAATGAAAGGTGGAAGGCAAGGGCATAAATGGCCAAATGTTATACAAGGTATTTCTTTTGTATACAGGAAATATGTGTTTTCTCCCTAGCATATGCCACAGTCCGCAATTCCATTGAATGACTATCCCCACACCCAAGGTGTTTATAATCTAGTGGATGGGAAAGGAGCTAAAACAAGAATTCAAATAGCTATAGATAGAGGAAAATAAGGTACTGTGTGGCGTGGAGTAGGGGCAGGGAGGTGGGAGGGGAGATGGCAGCTCAGAGTTCTGGAAAAACTTCCAGATCAGAAAATGTTCTGGTGCCAATACCAACTTCTGTGGCATGTCAAGTAATACAGGCCTATTACATCATTTATTCCTTACCATAACCCTATGAGGTGGGGGCTACCATATCCGTCTTCTGAACGAGAAAACGGAGGCTCAGAGAGGTTAAGGCTCTAACTCAAGATTGTTCAGCAAATGATAGCATAGTCAAGATTCAGATCCAGCTCTGTTCACAGCCCACATTTTTCGCTCCCTGGCTCAGACTGCCCCACCATGATCAGAGAGAGAAGCAGGAAAACTTAAAACCTTCCTGGAAAGCACAAAACTGCCCAGGATGGAGACATGCAGACCAGTTTCTCATGCAGAACAGTTTCTCAAAACATGGCCCCAAACCAGTGGCATCAGAATCTCCTGCAGTATTTATTTAAAATGCAGGTGCCTGGGCCTTCTTCCGACCTACTCAGTGCAGTTCTGCAGTGGCATCTCTAGGGGCTGAGTGTTTAGTCAGCAACCGGAGTGCTTCTTACCCACCCTGACGTTTGAGACCCGCTGACGTAGGGGAGGCGAGGGAGGGAAGCCTGGGCAGACAGGCTGGGAGGTAGCGGTCTGGGGTGGTGGACAGAGGAAGGTCTATTTATCTCTATAGTCAGGGGAGCAATTAGAAATTACTAAGCAGGGCAAGTCCCTTTCACACTGTCTATTAGTAAATATTTGGGCTTTAGTAGGGAATATCTTATTTACAAGTTAATTCAGTTTGTGGTCAGAGAACACACTCTGCATGATTGCAGTTCTACATTTATGGCCCATCTTGGTGAGTGTTCCACGTGCACTGAAAAGAAAGTGTGTCTTACAGTTGTTTGGCGGAGCGCTCTATAAATAACTATTCGATAAAGGTGGCTAATCGTGTGACTCAGATCTTCTGTATCTTTCCTGATTTGGGGAAGAGCTATCGTTCTTTTCATTGCTGAGAGTATTAAAATCTCCAACTAGGACTGTGGATTTGTCTCTTTTCCCCTCTAATTCTTTGCAGATTTGCTTCATGCCTTTTGAAACTCTGTTCTCAAACACATACACATTTCTAACTATTACAGCCTCCTGATAAATTGACCCTTTTATCGTTATGAAATGTTTTTTTTTCTCTAGTATTATTCTTTGTACTGAAGTCTACTTCACATGTTATTCATAGAGCTACTCCAGCCTTCTCACACTTACAGTCTGCCTGGTATGTCTTTTTTTATTTTTAAGACTATATTTATTTATTTATTTGAGAGAGGGTGCACGCGTGTGAGAGGGAGAGAGCACAAGCGGGGGTGTGCGGGGCAGAGGGAGAGGGAGAAGCAGACTCCCTGCTGAGCGGGGCACCAACGGACAGATGTGGGGCTCAATCCCAGGACCCTGAGATCATGACCTGAGCTGAAGGCAGACGCTTAACCAACTGAGCCACCCAGGCATCCCTGCCTGGCATATCTTCTTACCTCCATTTATTGTCGCTCTAATTGTGTCTTATATTTAAAGTGCATCTCTTGAAGACAGCATTCTGACATCTCTGCCCTTTTTTTTAAAAGATTTTGTTTATTTATTTGACAGAGGGAGACACGGCGAGAGAGGGAACACAAGCAGGAGAAGTGGGAGAGGGAGAAGCAGGCTTCCTGCTGAGCAGGGACCCCAATGCGGGGCTCGATCCCAGGACCCCAGGACCATGACCTGAGCCGAAGGCAGATGCTTAATGACTGAGTCACGCAGGCCCCCATCTCTGCCCTTTTTTTGAGATATAATTCACATACCATAAAATCCTCCCTTTTAAAGTGTAGAGCTCCATGGTTTTTAGTACATGCAAAAAGTTGTGTGTGACCATCACTGCTATTCTCCTTATGCTATTAATCTGCTTTCAAGTTCTCTGACTCTTCTCTCAACTCCAATCTGCTACTAAGACCATTCAAGTGGGATTTTTATTTCAGATATTATATTTTTCAGTTCTAAAGTTTCCAATTTTCCTGGTTTCTACATCCTAGTGAGATTTCCTAGTCGTTCATTATGAGCACATTTTCTCTTGCTTCCTTGAGCATATTTATACTAGCTGCTTGAAAATCATTGTCTGGGGGTGCCTGAGTGGCTCGGTCAGTTAAGCAGTTAAGCCTCTGCCTTCAGTCAGGTCATGATCTCAGGGTCCCGGGATCAAGCCCCTCATTGGGCTCCCTGCTGAGCTCCCTGCTTCTCCCTACCCCTGCTGCTCCCTCTGCCACTCCCCCCACTTCTGCTCTCTTAATCTCACTCTCTCTCAAATAAATAAATAAATAAATAAAACCTTAAAAAGAGAGAGAGAAAAATCATTGTCTGCTAATTCCAGTACTTTGGTCATCTTAGAGTAGGCCGCCGTTGATTGTCTTTTCTCCTGAATATGGATCACGTTTTTTCTTACTTTGCATGTCTAACAATTTTAGAATGTATCCTAGATGTTGCGAATGGTATAGTGGAGGGAATCTGGATTCTGTTCTATTCCTCCAAAGAGTTTTGTTTTGTTTTGTTTTGTTTTGTTTTAGCAGACAGGTAATTTGGCTGAACTTCAAACTCCAAAATCTCAGTCCCATTCTTTCACCTTTACCTGGGCTGCTTGGAGTTTGCCCTACTCGCTTCAGGGGCCAGGCAGGGATTTGGGCCAAGTTTATACTCAGAACTTGGGCCTCTGTCTCTGTGGATCTCTCCTATCTGCCATCTCTCCCCTCACTTTCTAGCTGTTAGGATTGCCCGGAACTCTGTCTCCTTATTATTCATACCAGTAAGATTACAAGGTTTCTATTTAGGTTTAAGCCATCAAACAAGGTGAAAGCCTGCTTTTAAGCTAAAAGACATTTTAAAAGATGAGAAATTCATCCAGTGAATTTCCCTGCTTCCTTTCTCCGGTATCTGCCTGTTTTTGCTTGCTCTCCAATGCCGACAGGTGGTTTGGCCAGAGTTTATAGTTGTTGGTTTAGGGAGGTTGGTCCAAAGAAGCTATAAATTGCCGGGAGCAAAAAGAAGACAGGCCAAATGTGAAAATGAAAGAGAGATCAGGGTAGAAAGTTAGGGCCTACTGCAATGTTAGGGGCTGGAAATCACTGGGCCTGAAGCAGGCCAGAGGCAGTAAAACATCTGGGGAAGGAGGAATCTTGGGACCTGGCAACTCTGCTGGACTTGTGTCACACGATTTTTAACGTGTGCACCTTCAACCGTATGAGTTACACAAAACAATAAGTTGCAAAATCTGTTTATACACTTCTTCACCCACTTACACCCCTCCTCGAAAAATAAAAATAACCCTAAACTCTGGCTTCCATGTACCTGGAAAGGGGAAGACGTAGCTGAAATGCACAGAACTAAAGAAGAAAAATTCTTAGTTTTTGAACACCCAAGAACACAGCTTCTGGCCCTTTAAAGGAAGGTTTATGGATCATTTAAGGCCAATTAGAAACAAGGGATATGAGAGGGGCTTTGTCAAAAATGGCTTCAAGCTCTGGGTCTTGAATCCTGGAACAAGAAAGACACTATGAACAGAGCTAGGGAATCACACACAGATGCAGGTTTGGGGTTTGGGAGGGAGCGGGACCCAGACTTCTGGAAGAGATCAGCACGTTTGGACATGCTGAGTTAGACTTGCCCACGAGGTGCCATCCAACACCGAGCTGGAAGTGCACGTCCAACTTGACAGCTCTTGCTAAGTTTGGGAGTTTTCTACACATTGGTGATCTCAGGAGCCATGGGTCCAGATAAGAGCACTCAGTGAGAGAGTAAGTGGAGAGAGAAAAAACTGGATGAAGAGCAAATCTTGCAGAACAACAGAATTGAGGCCCTGAGACCAATGAGAAGTAGGATGAGAACCAGATGGTGGAACAAGGCAGCCAAGGGAGGAGTTCAAGGTCAAGAGGTTAGAGACACACCAGAAGGCGAGAGTTTAAAAAGGAGCTCCGGCAGAAGGATCAGCAACTGCAAAGGAGCAAGGTCTTGCTTCAGCGGGCAAGATGTGGTAGGAAGAGCAGGTGTTCGGCATTGCTGGAGCCCAAAGCGCCAGGTGGTCCATAGAGAGAGGTAAGTGGACAGGGAGGCAGGGACCGGGATTTTATCCCATGATATGGGCCGAGCCATCAAAATATTTAAATAGGGGGGCGCCTGGGTGGCTCAGTTGGTTAAGCGACTGCCTTCGGCTCAGGTCGTGATCCTGGAGTCCCAGGAT